ACGGATGCAAAATATTTGTCACGGCAAGAAGGTCTATTGAGTGACTGACAGCTTTGAAAACTGCGAATTTCGTCGTTTTTTTTTATGCTATAGTTAAAATTACGTTTACGTTTCCCCGCGTAACTTGAAAAGTCACGTCCCAAAAAACCAAAAATAAGTTGTTTTTTTTTTGTTTTTTTTGTTTTTTTAGTATATGGAGTGTGTTAGCTTAGGAGAGGTATCCGGATCGAATCCCGGACCAGGAGGATTCTTTCAACGGTCAAGAGTCGCCCAGTGGGCGCAAGTAACGCTATACTTCAAGTGTAAGCCAATTTACTCTTAAGTAAATCTACTCCACCTGGGAAGCTTTCCCTTGAAATCATTATGTCAAATCACTGATGTCTGATCTCATCCTTGCGGTGGTTGCGATCAAAGCTGGTGGCAACTGTTAACATTCGCTTGCTCTGTTGACTGCCAGCTCTTGGTTAGCTCAACTGGTAGAGCGCTCCGCCAGTCTCGAAAAGGCCCCGGGATCAAATCCGAGACCTCTAGAATTTTTTTAGTGGCCACTATAGTAGCCTAATTGGCTTAATTTCCGCTCTAATTGAGGTGGAAGTCAATTAATTCCTATAAGAAATATAGTGAGTTCAAAAGGTTTCCATTTTGTTCGAGGTTTCTTTTTTTTTTTTTTAAGTTGAAGTTATTTTAGCAGAAATCTCATATAGGCATGTTTTCCTGGGGCAGGGCAGCTTCAAAGAGGGTAAATACATTCTGGGAAGAAATCATGATCGTCGTTGCCATCATTGCATGGCTTTCTTTCTGTGCACGTGTAAAATATCTTGCGAATAGAAAGGCACCCAAAACAACAAAAGTAGTAATTTCATGTCTTGTTCTGACGAACTTCAGCTTGGTTGTGTGCATAACTTTTCGCTCTTTGTATATTCTTTGGTCCTCTGTAATTTTTTTCTCGCCGTGTTGTATTGGCTGAGAGCCGCAGTGTGTCTGTGGAGCTGGAGCGAATAAAGACCCTCGATGTTAGTAACCAGCCACATGCAACTTCGTTTTTGAATTTTTTTTTTTAGCACGTGGAATGAGAATTTTTGATTATTGAGGCTAGCATAAAATGTTTTTTTAAGTTTTAATTTTATTAACTCCTTATTATGTAGTGGGGCACAAAAAAAAGTAGCACACAGGGTCCAGGAGCTTGAGGCGTGATTTCTCCTCTAAAATTTACAAGCTAAGAACAAACCATATTTATTTCCTTTTTCCTCTTCAAAAATTCTTGCTTTTTGCCATCTGCCCGGTCTCAAAGGTGCCGGACGCGTCATTGCTGAATGCTGTTCAGGGATTCGTTCCGAGATTGCTTCACTGGCTGGCATCAACCAGTGTTGGCGGTAACGCGTTACAAGTAACGGCGTTACCGGTAACGTGTTACTTTTTTTGGTAACGTAGTAACGTACTCGTTACTTTTCCAAAGAAGTAACGGGTAACGTACTTACGTTACTTATTTTGAGTAACGTGTAACGAAATTACGTTACGTTACTTTACTTCCTAAAACTTAAAAAAAAATTAAATTCTAATTTTTTGTGTGTGTTTTTAAGTGCCCAGTCATAAATTCCTTAGTCGAAAAATGCCGCTGTCCTCCACTTTTCTTTGAGGTCGGTGCTCGTCAGATTTGACGTCACACGCCACCCGCCACTAGTTTTCTCCCACGGCTCGTTGACCTCGCTACCGCCGTCGCCTCGGCTCAAAGGCCCTAGAGGTCCGGCTTCGGGTGGATTTGGGAGATTCCTGCGTCGAAGCCTGCGTTTCGCTTCCCGCTGGGAAAGAGAATGACACCTTCGTGTCATTTCCTTTCCCGTTTCCCATGTTATAAATCAGCTTCATATATACTTCCGCTTTTTTTCTTGTAACTATTCGGGTGAAACCCTAAAAAAAGAGAGGGTAATTAAGTTTCCGCATGGACATAATTTAATGGCGCTTACGCACATATCAAACGTCGAAACAGCAAATGTTTTAGTTCGTGAATAAAAAGTAACGCAACAGTAACGTGCGTTACTTTTTATCAGTAACGGTAACGGTAACGCGTTCCTTTTATTTTCAGGTAACGTAGGTCGGTAACGCGTTACTTTTATTTGCAAGTAACGAGTAACGTATTTAGTTACTTTTTTTCGGTAACGCATACAACACTGGCATCAACTCGGTAGCAAATAAACCGTCGGCGTGTATTCGGGTTCCCGTTCGTAGCACACTAATACGGGGATAAAAATTGCCGAACGACGTCCGTATCATAGAACGTGTACTTAGCATTGCCACTCCAAGCAAGCGGTTGTGATGAACATTGGTGGCACATGTGGCCAAAGCCCACCTGACAGCTGGCGTGTTGAGAAGGTAAACGCTTCTCGATTTTCTCCGATGTTTTCTGTGGCAGTTAGCACGCGGGGCAAAAAACAACAACGTATACATGTCTTAAATACTATAAACATTATTGATTACGTTTAAGCAGTATTTAGCAAAACGAAATAAGATGTTTCATGACCCCTATGATTTCCCCACTTCTTCCGGTTAAGTTAGTTGTGGAAGCACGATTCGATGACTCACGTTGAAAGGTAGATAACTATGCTGCACTTTGCTACACCATTGCCCTAACCCGGCCCGGATTCGGAAAAAATTCGTGTTACCCTCCCGGGCCCGGCCCAGACCCGAAACAAGCCCGCGCTACCCGGCCCGGGACCCACCCGGGACCGGCCCGTGGGCCGGGCCGGGCCGAGACTTTCAGGTTGGCCCGGCCCCGTGTAGGGCTCTTCTTCCCTTCAAATCAGACACCTGTGTGACTTCATTTAAAGACAAATTCATTACCATGAATCTCGGTGTTACAATCTGCATTTAATCCATTTTAAGGTGGCATACCAGCTGCCGCTCTCTAAGCGGCCTATATTAAAAAAAAAAAAAATTGAAATCACGTAGCTAAGAAGAAAAAACACGATTATTTTAGTTATTTAGGAAAAAAGAAGACTTCGATCAAAGGTTTCTTGGAAGAACGTACTGGACTTTTGAAAACTTTAGTTTCACGGTAAATGTTGACTACTATCTAGAAAAAAAAAAATAATAATTGAACGTTGTTTTTTACGGAAATTTCGCTCTCATCACCTTCACGGGAAACTAACACAAAATGGAAATCATCCGTCGGCGTTTTCAAGGGTTGCGCGATCGTAAGACGCGAAGCTAAACGCTTGTGCGATACGCCCCAACCCCTAATAGTTAAACGCTTCATGGTAGCATCTGCGTAATGTAGGTGCCGTCAACGTCGCGCTGGCACCGTTCCGGGAACGTACCACTACGGCCATAACTGAATGTTTTTAAGGCTAAATATTAAATACTTTATTGCGGTACGTTTCCGGTTTGGTCCCGGCATGGTGATAACTGGGGGTGGTAAAACTGTAAGGGTGAAGCTGTGCTAAAATGTTTTAAAGTACATACAGGTAATAATCGCTATGATCACTGGTAGGATAAGAACAGCAGGAAGGTATCGTTTTTTTTTCTTTTTTTGGCGTCAACCTCAGGCTTTTTGGATTCAATAACACTTCGGTGGCTCGTAAGCTTTGAGCTTGTCCGACTGAAGCCAACAAACGTGTGCTGGAAGCTCGGCGTTCGAAAAGAGAGACACTACGCATGTTGTCCTTTCATGTGACCGGCCTTGATCATGATGCTGCACAGCGCGTGCCGACGACAGGCGACCAAAGTGCATTCCCCGTCATCACGACTGTCGTTTTAATAACAGTCAAAATGTTAGCGCTTACATTTTTTTGAGCATGCGCACTGAGGGCAAGGCACTCGATCACCACCTCCTAATGCCCGTGGATAGGTTCTCTGTGGCGTTTCAGAAGAAAAAAAAAGTGTAGATTGGTCGTGCACAGCTTTAATCGACATTTGATGTGCTCGAGTGCCCTGTGCGTTCATTTATATAAATAGACCAGTGTCCGAAATCCTAGCCGCCAGCGATAAAAAGAGGAAATAATCTCAAACGCAGGCTCTCATGAAGAGAGGGGCTGGACCACGTGGGCTGGACATATAACGAGATTTTTGCTTTTTACAGCCCTCTTGGTATCGCTGTTGCTTAGAGCTTCGTGACTATGCATTTCTGACGTTTTTGCACTACAATATCCTGCGAAGGTTTCTAAACAAAAAAACAAAAAAAACGGAGTCTTGCAAACTGCGCAGCCCTCTACTATGTCATGGCATCAGCATAAACAAACATGACGGCGTCCATGGAACAGAGCAGACACTGGTCTATTGGCGGCGAGATTTTTCGGATGTCATTACCTCTCGTGATGTCATTACATTCCGAACAACAAGTTCGATGGTGTTTGTAATTAGCATGGTGGATGCCTGAAATCATTGCGCTCTCAAACCAGCACTGCTAACACCGCCAAAATTGAAGTTCTTTCATTACTCTTATTTCCGTGGACGAGACATCCTTCGCTGATGTCATAGTCAGCATTTGGCCGATCGTGGAAGGACGACCACAGCGACGCAATCGATCACGCACGTCGACTGACAGCCATAGATGAATGCTCGGCTGCTGAGCGCGGGATGTCTTCCAGCTTCCACAGTTATTTTGCAACGTGCACTCCACACGACCAAGAATGTCGAACTTAGCAACCTATAAGTAAGAGCTCGTTCTGAGCACGCGCTGTGATCAACGCACTCTAATGTGGCGCCCGGCGATACCCTCCGAAAGTCGCCCACGAACGACTATGGGCGGCAAGGCCGTCGTGAAGCATCTTTAGCGTCACCCTAAGAAGGCCAATAAGGAGCATATATTAGACGCCAGTGCTGTGCCAGCGCTCGACAGAAACTCGTGTTTGCGATAACTGAGCGGAAGTCCCAGCTGAACGTTGACGCAACCAATCAGGGCCTTGGCCTTCTTTAGATGATGCTAGAGATGCAGATGCTAGGGCCCTCCTGTCCACGAAGTGTTGGCTTGAGCATAAGGAATAACGAAGAACAAGTCGTGGTTTCGATCTCGTTTTCTTGCTTTTTTTATTGCCACCTACGCAACAAATACAAATTTATTTACAAGGGTACCTAAAAGCACTATATTGTCCCTGCGGCGACGCTCTTGGACCAAGATTCCTGCTCGAAAATAACTTATTTTATTAATTTTTTCCGTCGTTACGAGGGCACTACATTTTGAGATCTTCGCTGGCACATCGACGAATCTTTTCGAGCAGAAATAGTGTCCTCTGCATAAAATTGTCCTAGAGTGAAAGAGCTACCATCGTGTCCTGATGATGAGCAATCCAGGCACTCCGCGGCTCAACCCGTTTTGGTATTTTCTGTCGTTCTGGCGAAAATAGTATTCACACTTTTCGCAGTATTCTAGCTTATTGCTGTTCTTGAAGTTGTTGTGTTTATTTTTGTGGATTCATATAATATGTTTGTGCAGTGTGTTGACTTAGATGTTGACAAGGCCAGGCTTTTTGTGCGTATATTCCATGAGGGTGTTACAACTTTGGCGAGTGTTTCTTCACTGTCTAAGAAAAGACAAACTGTGTTGGGAAAGTACCGAATGACTTTCAGCGAGACAAAAGGAAGCAAATTACATTCTAAAGATAAGAAGATGCAGAGAAAAATAAATATTGACGTGAGTGATGTGAAAACCCCTGGCATGGCAAGACATTTTGCGTGGGTTCGAAAGTGGAGCGGTTCCCCAATAATGCATTCACGCGGTCTTTGGTATTGATCACCTCATTGTTTATAAACTTTGAATGCGCAGGAGCTTGTTCTGCAGAGAGCGAAGGCTCCGCGTTTACGCTATTTCCCAGACAGGGCCACCGCCTTAGCAGGACGTCAGAAACATGAATTTTTACGCAGAGCTCATTGTACGTGTACTGTTCGTACACGACCCCTGGCAGAAAGAGTACGTATTACCAGAAACGACATTATCAAAGTCTAAAGATTGCACCGCGGAGTAGCCTGAAATGCTCGCCAAAAATACACACCGTAAGAACATAGTTGCCAGAAATGCTATACAACACCACGCGCGTTATTCGTCGACAGCTCATCTTCAACTCGTCTTCGCTGCTCCTATATTCAAGAAACCGCGCGTCACAAAGGCTCACGTGCGTCGCGAAGCCAGCCGCATGTCCTCCATCCATTTTTCCAGCAGTGTCATCCACAATTAAAAAAAAAGAAACATAAAAAACTGCCAGAAAAAAAGTCGTTATCACAATCACACAACACCCATACCCTCAATCACGTCCATCACTGTCTATGTACACACACCACCATCATCATCCACAGTTGCCGAAGATGAAATGGCCAGAGGTGGGAGTGGAGAGGAAAAAAAAAAAAGAACTCTTTTTCGTTCGTTCGTGTTTTCTACAAATGGAGCAGTTCTGGAGTCCAGTTTGAAGTAAGTTCCTAGCAGGACTCCCTGGTCGCCAAGTACGAGGACGTCGGCGGTGACGACGAAGACGTGCTCGTGGGAGGCGACGTCGTGGAAGGATGTGGCGGTGGTCCAGAGGACACGGGGATGGGTGAAGACAGTCCGTTCGGGGCGTTGGACGCCGGCTGTGGCCCGGAGCCCGGATGCGTGGTTCCTGGTAGACCGGGAGGTGCTCCTGGTGGTACCCCTGGTACCCCTGGTACTCCTGGTACTCCAGGGTACAGCCGGTAGGCCATGGGCTTCTGCAGCGCCGCTTGTCGGTAGTAGAGGTCTAGCGCCGCCATGGTGCTCAGGGAGGACTGCGGTGAGAGGCCCGTGTAGCTGGACAGCCAGTATGGCGCCGTCTGGAGCATCCTCTGCACGGCGGCGTAGTTGCCGGCTTCGGCGAGGAGTTCCAGGCCCACGGCTGTCTGGCGCTTCCATTTTGTCCTGCGAAGAAAAGAGGTGCGTTGAGCGATGAGTCGTTTGCGCGAGCGTGATCATACACGCCGAGTTGATAAATGCAATCGGTTTTGCTCAGATGCGTCCAGGGCAGTGCGCGTACGCAAATACCCATTTTCAGATGTGCGAAACACCAGCGCATGCTCTGTTCTCCCAAAGCAAGCGTCACGGCTTTGGAGCGACATCAGAAACATTGCAGTCTTTGTGCGTTGAGCGCGTTTTACATACATACGCCACCTCTGTTTAACGAGGATCTCGAGGGCAACAGCCTAGCTGCGTTTGTTCGTGACAGATCAATTACAGGTCTGTCAAAGAAAACAAACAAACTAAGTATAAGTTTATGTTTTTTTCAAGGGTTTTTGTAGAACCATTGTTGTTACCTTGCCTAAAAGCGTTTTACTTAAACGTATATGTAGGAATAGCACTACTATAGTAATTTTAGTATATTCGTATATTTGTTAAATAATAATGAGAGTAGTCCGCCGTTATCGTGGCAGAGATGCATTTTACAAACTAAATATAAAGAAAACAGACCTGAGAAATGTCTGACCAGAGATGTAGACATGGCGACTGATGCAATTTTCGTTTCGATTTACTTCATGCAAGTAGTCTAGAAGCCATAAAAAGCCTCATTGATCGAAACTTATTTTTTTTCTAGAAAACTTATAAATGAACCCCAACCCACACCAACACAGCAACGCCAACAGGAAGGGCCCCAAATTTCAATAACAAACCGCGTCCTCCGTCCCTCTTATTACATGCCTCAGCGGCATTGTGCTCTAGCCGGTCCCCACGTCGTCCTTCCTTATATACCTAGCGAGTGACCACTTGATAACAACCAAAAAAAAAAGAAAAGGAAAGAGCAAAGAAAGAAGAAAGATCGCAGATTCTCAAAACGACCGTTTTGTTGAGAGATCCACGGAAGTCCACCTCTCCCTCCTTCCCAGTCCATCGCCTCCTCTTTTCTTATTTGGCTGCCTTATCCATTGCCGGCCTCTCCAAGAATCCAAGATTCCCATCATCGCAAATCGCTGGAGCCTCACTCTTCGCGTGCGCGTGAGTCGGTGGCGGCCACGGGCCGTCGTTTAGGCTCTGAGCGCGATCTCCCGAGCTCCTGACAGCCCGCTCAGCGATAGCGGACGTAGCTCGCACGGCACGGCAGCATCAGCGAGCGCGCTGAAGGAAACACACACACAACGGGAGCTGCAATGGCGGCAGGGGGACCCCCAGAGGCTAGCGGGCTCCCACGCTGGGCACGCAGCATACTTCCTGCCTCTCCAAAACGCGCTTTAGCGAAACACAATTAAAAGCCGCGCACGGAAACCTGGAAATGAGATGAGAAGCAGCGTGCGTGCACACTCTTCTCTAAAAAAAACTCGTTTTTGTTTTCGTTGTTTTTCTTATTTTTTTTTAAGTGCGTATACAGAGGGAGCCTGTGCGCCGAATTGCGTGCTTGGCGTGCCTGTCGCTTTAGTGTTCCGGCGGACATGAGCTAGACTTAACTTGGGGCCACTTCGGCTCTATGAGGGCCGCCGCGATGACATGTGGAAGGGTCTTGCTAAAGTGGTGCGTGCATGAACCGCTTTTGTTTTTTTTTCTTTTTCATTATGCGAAAGTAGAGGAGAAAGCAGTCAGGTCGAACGCGCGCAGTTCATCTCCCTGCGGTCCTTTTCTTGGTGGGACACGTGCCTCCTTTTTATGAACACGTCAAAAAAAGAGCACGAAAACGTGCGCATAGAATCGAGGGCTTCGATAACGCGCATTCACGTGCGGATTACGTGAGAAGTAAGTCGTGATATTGCGATGCTAATGAATCGCTGGATGTCGCCCTTGAAACGAGATCTGTTGGGCTTTGTAGATAGGCTAATGTGGTAAAAAAAAAAGAAAAAAAAAAGAACAGCAAATGTAATGTTAAAAACAAAACAAAAAAAGGGTCGGTGAACATTACTAGTTATGCCCATGGACAATTTCTGTGGCGTTTTCGACGAGAGGAGGGTTGTGTGCGGGCTCAGCTTTAATCGACATTCATGCACGCGCCACCGTACCTTTTACTGCGTAACCCCAGAAAGTTGTCCGCGAGTATAGAAGGCAAGGACTACTTATTACGTTATTGTTAGTAGGTTCCAGACCAGTCCTAAGTGGCAAGAACGGTGAAGCTTGACGAAGGTACGATGCAGCGCGGCAGACGCCGGTGTCTTCACGTCGCCATGCATCAGTGTTGCTTTCGTTGCGAGACCCCACTAACGGGTCGTGAACCAACATGCTCGTGGCAAAAGGCGCCACTCTCCTGTTCTAGGGGTATAATAAAGGGGGGATCGGTGGCCGAGTGGTCTAGCGCACACCAGCTCGGAGCACGTGGAGCGAAAGCTCGCGCTGCAGAACTCAGGGATCCTGGGTTCGAGCCCCACCCCTGCCCGTTTCGATCTGGATGAGCATCGTACCGGCGTGCGGTCGTGTATCACTACTGCGTGATGCACGTTAAAGACCCCAGGCTAGCAATTGTACTGCACTGGCTAAATTTCTCATCTACAGCTGGGAGACTCGTCGCCCCTGTGGGGCAGACCAAGTTCTAGGCTGTATAAACTCACACACAACCCAATTTTTAGGGGGTATAATGTATATTGGCCTAAATGGGCTTCGTCTTTCACGCGTGTATACGTTGTTACATAGTGCGTTCGTTTGAGCTATGAGCGGTCTGTGAGCTTGCTCGAAACTTATCACGCTTGGAATACCCCCGAAAGGTAAGTCGTGGCATGTATCTAATTTACCTTACAAAAAACTGTGATGCTTTTTTGTTGAAAGGCTGTTGAAAAAAAGTCATCAGAGGATATAAAATATCAATAGCTTTTCATCTGACTTTTTCTAGCTTTTCTGTTGACTATCTCTTGAATATTGGCCCACTTTGTAGCAAGAAAGTCAACAGACGTTTTGTGCTGTGACTACACGAGTCGATATCGACTCTGGTAGTCACAGTACTTTTGTACACAAGGATATATGATTAAAGACCTGTGATAATTGAGCAAATGTATACGTGCGAACGCCGGAATAAAATCAGGAAACACGTATAAACGTGATGACTCGACGACACGCATTTATCCACAAGCTCAAACATTAGAGCACTAACCAGCCAGCAGACTTGTACACGTTACTGAAAAAAAGTAACTGATTACAATTACAATTACTACAGTCAAAAAAGTAACCGATTACCGTTACTGATTACTGCCTCCCAGAAGTAATTGAACAATTACTGCAAAGTAATTGATTACTTTTCAAGTTACTTTCACGTTACTTCTTATTGCGATAACAGAAATACACAAATACACAGTAAAATATTGCGTACACAATTTTGTTTGGTTATTGTTCCCTTTTTTGTTTTCAGACCCGGACCTTGTCGTGTAGCTGACGCGTCGACCTAAGGAACAAAGCCCACTAAAAAGTCAATAGCGAGTTCCCGCTTCCCGTCGACTTTATCAGCAATCTGCAACGAGATCCGGAACTCCCCAGCCAAGGCTGGTGGCGCGCTTGTAGAAGAGCGTGGCGTAAAAGAAAACAGGATTTGCCGACTAATCCAAGTTTTATTTTTTTTAGATGTTAAAAAAATGTCAATCATTTTTGCTCCATGGCTGAGTGACTATGCTGATTTTTGTGAGAAAAAAGAATTGTGGGATGAAAAATGTAATTGGTAATTGTGTAATTGATTTTGTAATTGATTACAGAAAAAAAGTAATTGAATTACTCCGAGCGTTACAGCTTGACAAATGTAATTGAAGCGTTACAAAATTACACTTAACTGTAATTGATTACAAGTAATCAATTACTTGTAACGCGTTACGTACAAGTCTGCCAGCCAGTAAGAGCGAAGGCAGAAAAAAAAAAAACATATATCCGCACGCGCAGCACGAATCCTCGCGGCGCGTCGTCTTGCTCGCGTCTGCGTCACCGGAAGCGCGTCCTGAACGCTTTTTCTGTGTTTCACAACGAGCAGAATGCTCGCACTCGTCGATGCCAAGACAACGACGCCTGCCGCTTGTCAAGTATACTTCAACGAGATACAACATACTGGCCTGCTGGCGCCAGCTGTCAGGTAGCCCTGAAACCATGTTTATCTCCGTATAACTGGAGACCGAAGGTGTTACGGTGTGTGCGAGATCAAATCTATACGTACTATCTATTTGAGAAAGAGTCCCGTTTAACATTCTCAGAATTACTTCGAGCCAACGATGAAACAACGATGCCTAAAATGCACGTGGATCGGAAGTGTTTCAGGGCTATGCAGAGAGCAAGTCATCTGCTCCTTGCGCAAGAGTTGAGATGACGTCAGAAGGACGCCGGGCTCTCATTTGCTCTGATTAAAAAGATAGTGGATAGAACTCAAACCTAGGTGCCTTGGGGTCTACCCACTATTTTTTTCAACCAGACAATAAGATCTCAGCGTTCTGACCTCCTGCCAACCCCTGTGCACGACGAAACAGACAAACTTGCGCTCCGAATGCCCAGTGAATGGCAACAATGTATTATTATCTTGACTAAAGTCTTCACAAGCAGCCGAAGCGCAGTGAACCACAGCCAAACACCAATTCGTGAACCAGCCCTTAACAATGTAGCATGCCGCACGCATAGACTTTGCCTTCTATTTGGGAGGTGGTCAAGGCCTCGGGCTCAAAGGTTAGCACACTTTACTCCGCTTCACTTTCAGTCCGACCGCAGCCGGCGCTATGATCCGATAGGTGGATGGATGGATAAGTCTGAACCCTTTGAATCGGGCAGCGACTTGCGCCACCTACACAGTTTTTTTTTTTTTTTTTTAGCGGAGCTAACCAGCAGCGCCTCTGACGTCACGGCATTGCGGCGACGCTGGTATCTGCATGGCGCATGCGAAGTCGCTTCTCTTGATGCGAATCTGTTATCTGCGCACGCACCAGCGCCTATATGCCTAATGTGGGAAAACGCGGATTCGTTTAGTAAACAGCGTGTATATGGTCTATGGTTTGCGTACCTCCTGTTCTGGTACCAGGTCTTGACCTGGGTGTCGGTCAGGTTGAGTTTGGCGGCCAGTTCCATGCGGTCCTGGACGCTCAGGTACTTTTGCCGCTCGAAGCTCTTCTCGAGCGTCTGCAGCTGGTGGTCCGTGAAGGCCGTGCGCGCCTTGCGCTGCTTCTTCATCTTGAGTGCGCACACGCTGCCGCCGGGAGGGGACTCCGACGTGCGCTCGGGAGATTCGCTGCCTGTGGACGGGACAGAAGAGTTCGGGGTTTAGAGTCAGACGCTTTGAAGGTTACTTCCGAAAAGTAATTAAGTTAGAATTACCCGAACCGGATTAACTCGATGATACCAATTGCAGTTACTCCGAAAAGTATAGAGCTAATACCCTAGTTACAACGGGCACGCTTAACTGCAGTTAGGTGTGGCTTAGGTGAGACTTAAGCGCGTTCAATGGTGTACAGCGCCCGTCCTGAACCGCAGTAAAGCTTAAGCATGGTTAGCACAGTTACTGCCATTCACACCTATAGTGACAGGGGCACCCTAAACCGGAGTTAGTCTGACCTCCGTCGTACTTAACTGGGGTTAGGCGTGCCCGTGAAGCTGGGGTGTAAGTCACCGGAAAGTTATAACTTTTCAAACCTCTCATTAAATCACGTACCTGTCATGAAATTTCTGGCAAATGATTTTACTTCTTAATGCCCATAAATATGCTGACATTATTTTTTTTTTTTCGTTTTACCACTCTCCTCACGCTAGAGGTTGAAGTAGGAAGAACACGTAACGCTGACATTGACACTATCGAGTCCGTTTCACGAGTCCGAGCGCAGCCTATACGCTACGAAGCGATTTGACCAATCATGCAGCGCCGAAAGTGGTTAAACCAATCACTGAGTAAACCAATCCCTCGCATAAAAAGCGGAGTATCACGGAACATTCACTCTGCGTGATTGGTTTTGTAGAGTAACCGAGTCTTGTAGGAGTAACCGAAATTGCACTCGCAACTTAATCCAGACGTGTGACTAAGTTGCAGCCACGATGACTGAAATCTCGTTGATAGAAAGCATTTATGTACTGCAGCCAAGAACTCATCGCATTTACTCAAGTACTCGTGGTTGGTTACCTCGCAGCTTATGTTCGAGCGGGGTCCTTCGGCCACAGTGTTACCGTGGGTTGTTACCTAGTTAATCGTGTCTCCTCTCTCTCCTCCCTCTTTCATCTCTCCGTGCCCTTCCCCAACTCAGAGCAGCCAACTGAGGCAGGCTGCCTTGGCTGACCTCTCCGCTTTCTCCTCCTTATTTTTTTTATTAGCAAACGTGCCCAATCGCGCTTGCAAGCAAAATAGGTTGAACGACTTTAAAGGTCTTTTTCGTGCAACTGTCATTAGAGTGATTTCTTTCTTCTAATTCTTCTTGACCTTTAGATACATTTTTAAGTGAGAACAAATCGTCACGCCTATATAGTCCATAGGGCCAGCACACAAAGGCGAGAGAAAATTGCTCGTCGTGCGAAGCTGTGACCAAGAGAAATTGTAGATTCTACGCGTAAAACTATTTGTAGAGAAGAATCTCTATCTGCTGCTAAAGGATGGTAGGTTTAGTTTGGGATCATATTCTTAACGGGTAATTTTAAAGTTCCATGTGGTGTACACATCTTGTTTCGTATAATGGTGGAATAGAACATTTGATGATCGTAAACCATCAGCTTAACTCTTCCCTTTAGCAGCATGATTTTTCGGCCACAATTTATGGATAAAAATGCGAACCGATATGCGCGCAGTTTGTTCGTGAACATTCGCTGAGATGGTTAAGTGTCAAAAGTTAAGAAAACCTTCTACACTCTAAGTGTTCGAGAAACAAACTCATTTTTAACAAACAAAAACTGGCTCGCTGGCTTTTTCCAAGCGAAACAACAAAAACAAAAACAAAACTCTTTCCATCCCAATATGAGATAGAACGTGCAAGCCCACCTCTATAGAAATATGGCTGCTCGACCCCGCTTATTCCCTGCATGTCGGTAAAAGTGCAACTTTCTTTTTATTTTCTTTTTAAAGCGAACGTGAAAGTTGCGTTTATTCAAAAACAGCTCGCCGCGCAACTCAAAGCATACTCGCAAATACTCCTCTAACGGATGCGTTTTGCACCCGGTCCTATTTGTCCAACTCAAAAGCGAGGGTCGGCCAGCGTATCTACAGAAGCTGGCAAGTCGCGCCGTGTGCACACAAGCGGCCCCGCACGCACTCACGCATATACGTCGACGAGCATTGGCAGAGAGATAAACGAAAGGATCGCACAAAGGACAACACGCACGGACGTTCGTATGGGAGTAGATTCCGGTCCCGGTCTTGAATGCTCGCGCAGCATCCGATCTATTACGGCCGTTTTTTTTAACAGAAACGAAAGCCCGGTGGGTCGCGGCTCTGTATTGTCGGTCGTTCGTGTATTGAAAGGGAATTCGGTCGACTCCGACTCCATACCGCATATTGTGCGTTTATCGCTGGCGAATGGCTTTGAAGTCACGCTTAGAGCGAGGCCTGCCATATCACGTGTGTGTTTCGAACAGTTTTCGTAGTAGTTAAAAATGGCGGAGCCAGAGTATCGCCTTCCTTTTCCTTTCATTGCCAACTCCTCAATGGCAAAGAAAAAAAAAGAAAAAAAAAAAAGGTCACGTGCGCTCAATTCGACCACAGCCCTTGCGGGGAAGCGGCTCTGCGGAGTGCCGGGTTGGGGGGGGGGGGGGGGGGGGGGGGGGGGGGCATGTTTCGTGCTGCGTCCGCGAAATGTAGAACTTACACTTGAGTTTAACAAGCAGGAAGCTTCCTGAACCTTGGGACATAGTGCGTGCCACTTGAACATGTGTAATTGCGTTTCATTTCTTTTCGTTTTTGCGTGACGCAAGGGCTGTTTTTAAGCGGACAACAAGACAACAGACCACGAAGCGCGCAGGCGCGCGCTTTTCCGAGGGACACGGGAGACGCGCGACGGCGCATGCGCGGTCAACCCCCGCCTCTTGTCGCGCCCGTCGCGTCTCCAGCAAGTGTGATGGTTGCTTCTTCCGCAACACTTGAAGTCCAAAATTTAAGACCGTTGCGACTGCTCCGCAAGTGGAGCATTTGCAGTTACTCTAGTTTCGGGGCAGCCGGGGGCGACACCTATATAGGTAACGCGAGGCTCGGACACTCATCGTTCATTAAAAAGCCAGAGA